CAGTTTCCCCGATCCCTTTCCGCGGCAGGCCAATCCGAATCTAACCCTCTGGACGGCCAGAATTGACAGTCCCTAGATGCGTCGGGGGTGGCCATCCATCTCGCCATCTTTGAGGGTTACTCTTAAGATCCAGTGCGCCCAAAATCAGGGACACCCTGAGTTCTCATAATTTATGCTGCCCGGTCAGACCAAAGTACCGTAAAAACACGGACTCGCCCTTGAGCCTAAGTCCCAAAACCGCCATTTTCAGGCGGCGCACTACTTGTGGCCGCCTGACAACGGGCCCGATCAGATTAGCTGGAGATCCCCTCTTGTCTAACCTGACAAGGAACATGTACCACAATAAGTCAGCCGAAGAAAACTAACTGCAGCAATGGAGATTTCGAGGGTGCAGACGGTCGATGAGACAGACGCGGGGCAGTACGTGAGAACATGCAGTAAGACCGGTCAAGATCCGCTTGAAAGGAATGTCCTTACTAGCCGTGCGTCCCCCAAATTCAGCACAGCAGAGAGATGCATTGACAGCAACAAATTTGGGTCCTAAAGGTCTTGTCCCATTGGGCCTGGTCCCACTGAGTCCCGAAGGGTCCCAAGTAGGTCATGGACCAGGACCAATGACATAGGTGTACCAAGTCAGTCCCAAACTGCCTTTACCGTACCAAAAAGGAAAAGACAACTTTCAGCGAGAACTTACCCCTACAGCCGTTCAGAAGTAAAAAGACAACGCACTGTAGAAAGATATGTCATTGAGAACAAGATACATCATCCATCCGTCCATCAGGTGAGAAAGCAATCCACATGCTCACACACACAACCAAGACCGCAGAGAAGAGGAAGAGAGCCCAGCACACCCCAACAGGCCATGAAGCACCAAGCAACCTCCCACGAGCATACCCAGGTCACACGACACTTACCTGTGAGGCCCGACCTCCAAAGATGGATAACGACTCACCCCCCTCTCTCATAGGTCCTCCTGACCCGTAGCTACCACTACACGAAGTGCCTTAGCATGACTAAGAGGGCCTCCCTACACCCCTGTTACAACGCCGGATCCTCCGTCAATGTTTGAAGACCAAAGTAGCAACTTGCAGCTCTTCGATGCAGATATGGCAGCCTCCGATCAAGTCTCCCTCTTGAGGGGAACCAAAAGCCACTCAATGTCTTCTTGAAGTGCAGATTCCAGGTGCGAGTACCTCTCACTCTCTACTCCCTCTCGCTTACTCCAATCAGCCCCTTCGTGTCTCGCCACCCCATTCAATCACACAAGCAACCTGGTCAGGTCTGATGTCGACCCTACATGACCTAACCAGGTGGGGGCAGCATCCACATACCTCACTGCCCCTCTTAACCCTAACCTCCAACCCTAATCCGAGATTAGGTTAGCCCTAACCTAATTCGGAATTAGGTTTAGGGTGACTAACACCTCTCGCCAGCAAGTAAGTCCGCTCCGATACCAATTGTTACGATCCTGGTCATTCCCAAAGTGCAAATTCACAATGAAAGACATGCCACCCAATTGCGAAAGAAATGAAAGCACTTGCAAAGAGACAGAGACCAAAGAAGAGAGAGAGAAGAAGAAGAAGAAGAAGAAGAAGAAGAAGATGTACACCAGCAAGACCAATGACAAATCCCCCTTCTCTCTCCACCTTCCTCCTCCTCCTTTACTTCGACAATCTTATTCTTCCTATAATAATAATAATAACAATGAGTGGATGAACCAGAACCAATATCCAAAGTTCCCTCTTACTGCTTACACTACAATAGGTCCACCATAGCTATGGCCTCCCCCCTTCTTCCTCCTTCCACATGCCTAGGCTATGGCGGACTACTGAGGGCTCTGCCCTCCTGTGCAAAGGACAACGCAAAGCAGCTATGTCGCTGCACTCCTGTCCAAAGGACAACCCAAAGCAGCTATGCCGCTGCTCACTAAGCCGCCATGCCTGACTCTGCCTCGAGCTTCCTTGGTGTGGCACTACCCCAACTAGGGCCTTCCAGATGCAGCGCCCAAGGAGTTGATGAAGATGGTGTCCACCATAGCAAGGTAGGTACCTCGCCACTCTCCTCCTTCGCCCCCTTCTTCCTCCTCCTCAAGCTGGGCTGCTCGCCATAGCAAGGCTGAGCGCCCAGCTGCTCTTCTCCTCYAGGCAGCGCTGCACAAGTCCAGCGCTTGGCTCCAGCAGTATGTCGCCAATCCTTGCATACTGCAAACGAGGAGGAGCTGCTTGCTCCTCCAGAAGATATAGCGGCCTACTGGCCTCTTGGGCGGTGACTTCCGAGGCCGAGCGGCCTCCCAGCAACCGGTACCTCCTCCCTTTCGGAGGGAAACATCATTGCAGGCTCTGCTATCGTCCGGACAGGCCCTAGACTCAGGCTACTTGGACTGGTACCGGCCTACCTCTAATCTACCGCTACTGGGCCTCTAAAAATGCCAACTTTTTGTCTTCTTCTGCTCGGCCTCCAGTACCAGACACTTCTACCTCTACTTGAGTAGTACCGGCCTACCTGCTACTTGAGCGTTTTTCCCCGCTGCTCTAAGTGTCGTGGGCCTACCCCCGCTACTTGAGTGTTTTCCCCGCTGCAACTCTCCAAGTCACGGCCACAGGTAAGTACCGGCCCTGCAGGGCCTTTCAACCAACAAGTACCCTTGCTGGTCACACACACACTCAGCTGAATAGCACTCAGACAGCCACGCAAACCAGCAGGCACGCACACACACACAGACTTAGAAATCACGGCAGAATGTGGGAATCTCAGCAAGGCATTCATTCCAGCGGCAAATCCCAGAAATCAGCAGTGTTCTCAGTCTGTGTTTTGGCGGGTCATTACAGATTGATTTTTTTTTTTTTTTTTTTT